ACCTGGTGTAGGTCAGCCTGGTTTGGCACAGCCTGGAATGGATCAGCGTGGTTTGGTCCAGCCTGGAATGGATCAACGTGGTTCGGGCCAACGTGGTGCAGCTCAACCTGGTTTGGTCCAACCTGGTGCAGGTCAGCCTGGTTTGGTTCTATCTTCTACAGGTCAGCCTGGTTTGGTTCTATCTTCTACAGGTCAGCCTGGTTTGGTGCAGCCTGGAATGGATCATCGTGGCTTGGGTCAACGTGTTGTAGCCCAGCCTGGTTTGGCCCAACCTGGTGCAGGTCAGCGTGGTTTGGCCCAACCTAGAATGGACCAGCGTGGGTTGGTACAACCTGATGCAGGTCAGCCTGGTTTGTTTCAGCCTGGCATAGGTCAGTCTGCTTTTGTCCAACCTGGTGCAGATCAGCGTGGTTTGGGGCAAGTAGATCAGCGTGGTTTGATACAAGCTGGCACAGATCCACATGGCTTTTTTCAACCTGGTGCATATCCTCCTGGTTTGGTACAGCCTGGTGCATATCTGCCTGGGTTAGTACAGCCTGGTGCCTATCCACGTGGTTTGGTCCAACCTGGTGCCTATCCACAAGGTTTGGTGCAATCTAGTGCCTATCCACGTGGTTCGGTTCCACCTGGTGCCTATCCTCGAGGTTTGGTCCAGCCTGGTACATATCCAGAAGGTTTCCTGCAGCCTAGTACTGATCAGCGTGGTTTGGTTCAACATGGAATAGATCAGCATGGCTTGAGGCAACCTGGTACAGAAGGAGGCTTGATACCACCAGGCACAGAGCTTCGTGGCCTTCCAACATTCCACCCTGAGTTTCCAAAATTTTTCTCACATCCCTATCAGCATGGTGTAATACCTCCTGGCAGCTATCAACATGATCAGGTGTCACCACTCCTAGCCAATCAAGGTTTGGCATCACCAGGTATTGGCCAAGAGGGTTTATCAGAAACTTACCAGCAAGGTTTGTTACATCGTGGCACAGACCAGCATGGCCTAACACCATTAAGCACCCGTGTGGGATCTGTACAGCGAGATCGACAGCATTTGGTATCACCTGGCCCAGATCAGCAAGGCCAGGGACAAGCAGGTACAGACCAGCGTGACCGTGCATACTCTATCCCAGAATCTCGTGACCTATTGTATCCCGGCCCTCACGGCCCAGGCATTCTGGGGGTAGATCCGTACGTCCAGATAGGTTTGGATCCAAAACAAATATATGCCTCGGACCAACCTGGAATTTCTGTCTGGACTACTCCAAGCCAAGCAGCCGCCTTTGCCAGGAGCATGGACTCTCTTAACCATCTCTACCGAGTCTCATCAGAAAAGAGTGATTTCCAGAGCGAAAGACATGATTCACTGGATAAATTGGCTCCGAGCTTCCCCATGGCAGTGGAAACATTTCGTCTGATGGGAGAGCTCATTGGCCTCTATGTAGAGCTCAAGGAGAACATGAAAGAGCTGGATGAGGAGCAGGAGGGCCAGACCGACTTGGAGAAGATCCAGCACCTGCTCGGGCTCATGGGTGGGTTCCACTGGTGCGGAGGAGGGACCACTGTCTGTGTATTCAGCATCCCCTGCCCTCATCTGGTGGCTGGGCTTCTTCCTGAGTCACTGCAAATAGCATGTCCCTTCTTAGCCTTTCTGGGCTCTACCTTAGCCTTTGGGGTCCAAAAGATAGACTTAAACCAGTCGGAGCGAAGCAGTCTCAGGAGAGGAGTGAGGCGGTTCCAGTGCCCTGGCAGACTCTGTGGACAGCAGCTGAGGACGGTGGGCGGGGAGGGAGGATGCCGAAGAATTCAACTTCACCTTGGTCCATGCACAGCTGTGGGCCCAGAGAATAATTAAGATTTGAGAGATGGGTGGAAAGTGTGGGTCAGTAGTCCCAAAGCCCTTTAGGATAGTAAGCACTGGGTGGATTTTTTAGAGGGTAAGGATACCCCTCTTTCCTTTCTTCCCATCCTCCCCCCTTCCCCAGTCACCAGGAAAAGCAGAAGTGAGGTGTCCTGCTGCTCGCTGGGGTAGCTTCCCTGTGGGGGCTGGGAATGGGGATTGGGAGCCTGCTGGAGATCTAACCCTTCTGACTAATAAGGCCTCCACTTTTCACAGTCAAAAAGAGTATACCCGCTGACCTGCAGGAACAGCTGAAGACCTTGAAGTCCTTGACCAAAGAAGTTTGGCAGGAAAAAGCAAAAGTAAGTAAGGGAGGGTCCGCCCACTTTGCCTTTGAGTGCCAGTAATCTGATCACTTTCCATTTGTATTTTGATGGATCACAGGATCCTTGCAGGACATTATTATCTCATTGGATCTTTACAAACCCGTCAGGTAGGAAATGCACCTCAGGTATCATCATGTTCATTTCCTGATCTCAAACCTGATGCTCAAAGCCCTTAAGATCTGGCTGAGCCAACAAGGAGGCCAGTGGTCCTTTCGTTACATGGGGGGCCATTTCCAACAGATCCCACTGGTACTGAGGCAGCCTTGGAGCCAAGTTTGTGGGACTGTCTGGGGCCGGTGGCCATGGAAGGGGTTACTGGGTCTTTGTTCTCTTAAAGCCAGCTGTCCACGGGATGGACGGATGGACGGACAGGTGGATGGATGGATGGATGTCCAGAAGGGACACACTGACAGATGGTTTTTGTTAGAGGCTTAGATTAGGACGAGGACTCGGGAGAGGGGCTTGCTCGAGCTGCGGACACATATGCAGAAGGCAAAGAACTCAAGCCTACCTGACCTTCCTCTTCATTGGGTTTGTAGATGGACAGGATACAGAGAATCCTGGAGGGCACCGGAGAGCAAGAAATAGGAAAAGAAATGAAGAATGGCCAGCTGAGCTTGCAGCTGGGAATCCTCAGGTAAAATGCCCCTGCTGAGGGCAGCTTGTGTCCGGGCATCTCATCTCCCCAGCCGAGGAGGTAATGGCAGCCTTCGGTTCACTCACAGTCTGAACTGGCCCCTGTCTTTGACCCAGGTTGTGTCTGCCTTTCAGGGTGTCCGTTTGTAGTTCAAGTTGCTGGTGGAAGTTTCCGAGGTTCTCAAAACAGTTCAGCACCAGGGCTTGGGAGGAAAACAGCTACCAGTCTCTGTCCCCAGTTGGAGGCTGGAGGAGAACACTTGCCAGAGCCCCCTCAGAGCCCTCTCTTTGTGGTGCCAGGTCGCACCCCCTAGAAACCTCTCAGGCCAGCACGGGGGTCCCCACTTCCCAGACAAGCAGCACCCGGGACTCCCTAGACAGAGCCTGCTGCAGGGAGGGCCCGAGAGCCGTGGTGTGCATCTTCTTTCTGTCCCTGATGGGACTGGTGGGCCTGGGCCCTGGGGTGGGTGGCGGGGCCAGGCTGTCTCTTTCTGCACATCTCTCAGAGTTACCGTGGCTGACATTGAGAAGGAACTGGCCGAGCTGAGGGAGAGCCAAGAGCGGGGCAAGGTCAGCATGGAACATTCAGTCTCCGAAGCCTCCCTCTACCTGCAGGACCAGGTGAGACCAGAGCTCTTCTCAGAGTGAGCTATGGATGGTGGGACTACTAGACTCTTAGCTGACATACAATTTGCAAATATTTTTGCCCATCCTGTGGGTTGTCTTTCCACTCTCTTGTTAGTGTCTGCCTTTAAGATTTATTTATTTCAGAGAGAGAGAGAGCACAAGTGGGGGAAGGAGCAGAGGGAGAGGGACAAGCAGACTCCGTGCCATGTGTGAAACCTGACGTGGGGCTCAATCCCACGACCCTGAGATCATAACCTGAGGTGAAATCAAGAATCGGACACTTAACTGACTGAGCCACCCAGGCACCCCGATAGTGTCTGCCTTTAAATCTTGAGTGATGCTTCGTCGTCGGTCATCCCAGAATGTTCCCATTGAAGAGCTTCTGGACCAGGAACAGCCCTCTGAGTGCTTGCAGAGGATAGGATAGGAAAAGCCACTCGGTCAAGGGGACTCATGTCAGGAGCCCCCTCAGCGATAGAGGCCCCATTCTGGGCCACTCCCACGTTTGCCAGGACACTGGCATGTACCATTTCTTTCTTTCTTTTTTATTTATTTGAGAGAGAGAGAGAGAGCACAAGCTGGGGGGAGGAGGAGTAGAGGGAGAGGGAGAAGAAGACTCCCTGCCGAGCAGGGAGCCTGACGCGGGACTTGATCCCAGGACCCTGAGATCACAACCTGAGCCAAAGGCAGATGCTCAACCAACTGAGCCACCCAGGCGTCCCTGGCATGTACCATTTCTTGACCCCAAGCCAATTGTCCAGTGTGGGGCTTGAGGAGCAGAAGATTTGTGTGTCCACAGCTTCCGTCTAAGCTTAGCAACCTCCAGGGTTTCCGGGGGCCACACTCGGAGAGAAGCCACGCCCCGCTGGGCAGGCCCAGGCTCCCGCCACAGCCTCTTCGAGGCACTGGCCCCCACTCTCCCAGATCTCCCACCGTCTTAGCTTCCTACTTCAGAATACACTGCTGCTTTCCCATGCTGCTTCTCGTCCCGGAACATCCTTGTCACCCCCACTTACCCAGCGGGCTCCTACTGGTCCTTCACAACTCCACTAAAATGTCCATAGTTTGGGGAGGCAACTTCCTCTCTTCTAGAGAGAATTAATCCGTCCTTTTTATCCCACGGACCCTCTGACATGCTCTTACGGACTCTTCAGAAGAGTGTAGGCTCTTCCAGGTGCAGAGCAAGGGTCTCACGAACTCAGGCAGTAGGGCGCTTGGTTGAAAGTGCCTTGGTGTGCGGGGGCTGGAAAAGGCAGGAACTCCTGGGCCAAGGGGGCCGTCTGGCCGGGGCCACTCCTTCTCTGTCTTTCCGTGTCTGTTTCTGTGTGTCCCTGTGCCTCTGTGTCCCTGTCCTTATCCATTTCTCTCCAATACCTCCACATCTCCCTCCCACCGTGCTCCCAGCCCGCTCTCCCTTCTCTCACACATGGCCCACAGGGGCTGCCTAGGCCCCGCGCTGTCACACACTTCCAAGAGAGGGGGTTCGGTTGGTCCAGGCCCTCTCTGAGCCCGGCTAGAGGTCCCACAGCTGTGGGACCAGCTGCCCGAGAACCGGGTGCCAACCCGGGCGGGACCAGTCATGTGGTGACACACGGGGACTGTGGGACACAGAAGAGGACAAGAGAGCCAGTGCAAGCCATCTGCTCTTGCCCAGACCGAGAGAGGCCCCCGCGACAGAAGTAGCACCCATCCCGCTGATTTCTTGTTACTGACATGCGGGGTGGGGACAGAGCCTGTGTGAGCCCACCCCTCCCGTCCCCAGGGCCCCAAGCTGCGTCTGGGTGTCATCAGGCTCCCCTAAGTGTTTGTGGACTAACGGACATCACCACTCGAGGGTTTAGCTAGAGGAGATGTGTCCTCACGCTGAATCAGTGAGCTGGCTGGAGAAAGGTCCAGAAGCCTCCATCCTGTAGGGGTTTTATTCAGCATCAAGGCTACACTCGCTGAGAACTCTGTTCACTATTTAACAGACGGGCACTGGGCGCCACATTCTGTGAGGCACTGGGGGTGCAGCGACTGCCCGAATCACGCGGGCGCTGACAGCGTGGACAGAACGTGGCCATGCCTCGCTCACTGCCCTGCACCTGCCTTCTTGCCCGCACCCAGCTTGACAAGCTCAGGACGGTCATCGAGAGCATGCTGGCCTCGTCTTCCACCCTGCTGTCCATGAGCATGGCTCCTCACAAGACCCTGTCAACCCTGGAACCTGGCCAGATTGACCCTGAGGCCACCTGCCCCGCCTGCAGCCTGGACCTGAGCCATCAGGTCAGCATTCTGGTGCAGCGCTACGAGCAGCTCCAGGACATGGTCAACAATCTGGCAGCCTCCCGGCCTTCCAAGAAAGCCAAGCTCCAGAGCCAGGTGACTGCCACTGGCCCCCCTCCCGGCGTGGCCACCCATGCCCCACAGTGGGGAGCCACAGCCCAGTGGCCCACAGAGTGGGGAGCGGCTGATAGAGCTTTAACTGGCCTAAGGGCCAGTTTTCCATAGTGGAGCCCTTTACTGACCCCACAGGAGTCCCTGGGCCTTGCACTAGGTCACAGCGAGGACAGCAGCCGAGCTGGCTCTGGGGACAAGAGACCTGGCTCCGTGGGGGTGGGACGGCACAGCTGGCTGAGGGGTGGAGCCGTGCACTCATGTGCCTCGGGGGACACCGGCAGAGCTTTAGGGTTCATTGACTCCCCTTCACACCAGTCTTCCAGGCCCCTTCTTGATTCCCCACCAAAGGGCAGGCTTGCCGGTGGGGACAGGGAGAGTCACAAGTCCCTGAGTCCTGCCTCTTGGATCCTGGAGTTCAGATCCAGCCCAGGGCAGGTGGGGAGACTGTAGCCCACATCCCAGCTCTCAGGAGCCACAGGGCAGCTCACCACTCTGGAGCCTTTACTGGTCACCCCCAGCGGCAGACCAGTTCCCCCAAGGCTAGACCATGGGGCGGTGGGGGACTGAGGCTCACATCCTGTTGGGTGGACACACAGAAAGAGCAGAGAGCCGCCCCACTATCGGGGGGAAATTGTGGAGAGCCAGAATGGGGTCCAAAGTTGGCCTACCTGCTGGGTGACTTTTTTTTTTTTAATTTATTTGAGTGAGAGAGAGTGAGAGTACATGAGCAGGGGAGCAGCAGAGGGAGAAGGAGAAGCAGGGAGCCCAAAGCGGCACTCGATCCCAGGACCCCGAGATCATGACCCGAGCTGAAGGCAGACGCTTCACTGACCGAGCCACCCAGGTGCCTCTGGGTGATGTTTTAAGGGCTGATCAATCAGGGCAGCAATACTGCCCAGTGGCCCCAGGGAGCCTGCCTTTGTGCCACCTGCCACAGGATGAAGAGCTGCTGGGCCATGTCCAGAGCGCCATCCTGCAGGTACAGGGCGACTGTGAGAAGCTCAATATCACCACCAGCAACCTCATCGAAGACCATCGGCAGAAGCAGAAGGCCATTGACGTGAGGGGCCCGCAGGGCTGCCGGGGCGGGGGCGAGGCCGTTCCCGTCCTGGCTCCTCATTCTCTGCTCCCTCGCCTCCCAGGTACTGTACCAGGGTCTAGAGAAGCTCGAGAAGGAAAAGGCCAACAGGGAACACCTGGAGATGGAGATTGACGTGGTAAGGGCCAGGCCCGGAAGAGCCACCTTGCGTCCCACAAGTTCTCAGCGGTCATTCTTTGAAAGGCCAGGAATGAAGAGAAGCCCAGAGGGGGAGCTCAGCATCCAGGCTTGACGCTTCAGGGCAATGGGGCCCCTCCATGGCTCTCTCCCATGTGGGGGGCCCCTCCTCTCTTTCCGGGCAGAAAGCTGATAAGAGCGCCCTGGCGGCCAAAGTGAGCCGTGTCCAGTTTGATGCCACCACGGAGCAGCTGAACCACATGATGCAGGAGCTGGTGGCTAAGATGAGCGGGCAGGAGCAGGACTGGCAGAAGATCCTGGACAAGCTCCTGGTGGAGATGGACAGCAAGGTGAGGGCAGAGGGCAGCTCCTGTCTGGATGCTGCAGATGGCTCCCCCACCCCCGCCTGGCTTTCCCAGCGCTCACTGGTCACTGCCCCACCTACCCCACCCCCCGCAGCTGGACCGCCTGGAGCTGGACCCCGTGAAGCAGTTGCTGGAAGATCGCTGGAAGTCCTTGCGGCAGCAGCTCAAAGAGCGCTCTCCACTCTACCAGGCAGACGAGGCGGCGGCCATGCGGAGGTGGGGCACGGACGACAGCGGGGGCTGGGGGGGGTCCCCAGATGAACAGCTCTGGGGGAATGGCTGATCCCACTGGACCATCCCACAGCTGCCGTGACAGAATTTGAGAGCTTGAAAAGCTCTTTCAGCTTAGGCCGGTTCCTTAGGGCGGAGAAAGGGCGGGGAGAGAGGCTAAGGCTCTCTGGCACGGCTGTGCTCCGCGGGGCCGCCGTGCTGGGGACGGGCCCACAGTCCCCAGAGCTGAGCCTGCCCCTCGGGGGCTGGTCCACGGCAGGCTGGAATCCCAGGGTTTCCATTATTGGCCGCCAGAGGGCCCCCGAGGTTTACACAGGGCGTCCATCAGGGGCCCTTTGAAACCCTGCTGGCTTTGGGTTAGGACAGGTGGGCGCCCCAAAGCTGGCATGCCGAGGAGCTAGTGTGTTCCCAGGGAACTGGGACCAGATCTGCCTCTGTGGCTCGGGGCCTGCCACCCTGGTGAGCCGAGCTTCCGGCCCACCTGGCCTGCAGAGGGGCCGTGGCCTTCTGTGTCCTCCGTCTCTCCCATTCCCGACCCTCTGGGCAGGGCACTCACCATCTGTGTGTATCCCACTCCTCACAGGCAGCTCTTGGCACATTTCCACTGCCTCTCTTGTGACCGTCCCTTGGAGACAGCTGTGACTGGACAGTGAGTGCCCACACCTGGCCAACCCCAGCTGGTGGCGGTCATGGGGGCGGGCCCAGGAGGGCTGTAGATCCTCCATTCCCTACCTGCCTCCAGCTCTTGTCCTTCCTCGTCTCCTCTCCCCTGGGTCCATTCCTGTGTGCCTGACCGCTTGCTAGCCCTCCGTCCTTCCCTCCGCCTCACCCTGGACCGGAAGCCTCCTCAGGCACGTAGACTGTGGAGTCCTGGATTTGGGAAGGGGATTTCTCACTCCCCAACCCTCCTCTTCTCTCTGTCCCTGCCCAGATTTATCCCTGTGACTCCTGTGGGCCCAGCCCTGCCTGGGCACCGTTCCCTCCGCCCCTACACTATCTTTGAGCTGGAGCAGGTCCGGCGGCAGAGCCGCAAGTACGGGGCAGTGGGCTTCCCGGGCAGGGCTTCACAGGCCAGATGGGGGCAGAGGCTGGAGGGCGAGTGTGGGGGGCTCCTCCTCCTGGCTGGACAGTGGGGGGCACGGAGTGATTTCTGGGCTAGCCCCCCAGTTCTTCCCCGGAAGAGGAAGAATGGAGACCTACTTAGTAATCCCCTGCCTTTGAGTCCCTACTGGTGGTCCCGGTGGGACATTGCCAAGGGTGCTGGCTGTCTGGGGTAGCTCCTCTTTTTTTTTTTTTTTTTTTTTGGGAGAAGGTGGGGAAGTATTGCACACTCCCTTGGGCTCCTGCCCCCCTCCCCGCTGCATTTCCATCTCCCAAGGATGGGGGTTCGGCAGTAAGGATGGTTTCAAACTGCACTTTGGAGCCCTTGGGGTTCCAGGGAGGCAAGGCTAAGTGTGCAGGGCTTCTCCCCATTTCAGCTTCTGCCCTGCCCCATCCGTGGTCCCTCGGAGTGCTATGGGAAGGGCTCCTGCCCACACAGGGTCCTGCTTAAAAAGGCGCAGATAAAGGGGTGGAGTGGGCCAGGGTCTGAGTGTGGGCTCAAGCTGGTGTGGCCCCCTTACCCCGCCGTCTGCCTGCGCCCCACAGCCTAAAGCTGGGCAGTACTGCCTTCCCTCGGGGCGAGTTGGCGCATATAGAGCGGAGCGTGGGGCGCCTGCGCACCATGCACTCCAAGATGCTGATGGACATTGAGAAGGTGCAGATCCACTTTGGAGGCTCGGTCAAGGCCAGCAGCCAGATGATCCGGGAGCTGCTGCAGGCACAGTGCCTGAGCTCCCCCTGCTACAAACGGTAGGACCACACAGACTGGGCCGCTGGCCGCGGGGCTCAGCTTCTGCGCACCCACAGCCCTGAGAATGTCTCATCCACCGCTGGGGAAAGCCCTGCCAAGGAGGGGTGGCAGGGCAGGGGGTAGAAAGAGGGTATTAGAGGTCTTCAGGGTGGCCCAGCAGTGGGGTTGCTCGGCTCACCCATTCCCTTGCTCCTGCCCTGGTTCCCGGAGACCCCCGACACAGCGGTCCCACCTCTGGCCGGCTGGCCCCCACCATAGGTGGGTCGCAGGTGACACCTCCTCCCGGTGACTCTGCTGTCCCCATCACAGGGTGCCGGACACCGCCGACTACACGTACTCGAGCGTACCCCGGCGCTGTGGGGGCAGCCACACCCTCACCTACCCCTACCGCCGCACGCGCCTGCAGCACCTGTCCCAGGGCCTGTACCCCCCCGAGGAGGTCCAGATCGCCATGAAGGTTGGGGGTGCTGCCTGGGAGTGAAGAGAGAGGGCCCTGACATGACCCCACGTTCTCAAGTCGTTCTGGAAAAACCACCTAAGTCACCAGAAGGGCGGATGACCAGCCCTCTGCCCGGAGGCTGTTTCTGAAAGCCTCTGGTTCTTAGGCTTTGTTGGGAAGAATGCCATCCTGGCCACCTGCCATCCTGGCCACCATCTAGCACTACCATCCCCACCATGGGCCCTCTCTTCACCCTGGCGCTGCCAGAGCCCTGGGGGAGGGTTCTGAGCACCGTTTGGTTCTGGGAGTCAGGAGAGGACGTCACTCGGTGCCCCCCAGCCCTCATGGAGGAAGGACTGGGGGGCACGCTCTAGGTGCCACATGGTAATGGATGTCCCCCTCCACCCCCACAGCATGATGAGGTGGATATCTTGGGCCTGGATGGACATATTTACAAGGGACGGATGGATACAAGGCTGCCAGGCATCCTGACCAAAGACAGTGAGTGTCCCGGGGGCCCAGAGGCTCCTTGCTCGAGTCCCCCGGGGGTCTGTCCAGTTCCTGGAAGGCCGTGGGGCCCCTGGATCCTGGGTGCCTTCTTCCTCCGCTACCTCCCTGATTGCAAACGTCCTGAAAGCCCCAGGTCAGTGTTTGCAGGTCGGAGGCAGCCGTCCACTCTCAGCCAATGAGCCGGGACGTCATGGCCGCATCTTTCTTGTCAGCCTTCCTCCTCGTGCTGCCTCACTGGCTTGCCTGCCTCAGCCTCTGTTCCCAGTACCACCGGGGCCGAGTTCTGCCCCTCCTTCAAAACTCAAAATGCCCCTCCTCAGCCCCCCACCACTTGGAGAATTTCCCACCACCCTGGTGCCCACCTCCAGCGAGCCAGACCGCACTGTTTATCACTCCCCACCTGCTCTTAGAGCACTGTGTGCACCTGTCTAGCCGCCTGCCCTCCTGAACTGTGAGCCCAGGTCAGAGCCCGCCCAGCAGCAGGCACAGGGCTCCTGGGTGTAGGTCCCCAGAGCATAACTGAGTGGGTGGGGGGGTGGATGGACGCACGGACATGGGAACGAATGGAGTGCTTAGAAGGCGCATATCCATCAGTGCAGACGGGGAAGGACCCCGGCTGAGGCTGGCTGTGACCGGTGGCCCTGCAGCCCTCTCCCCATCCCACGGGTCCCCACAGAGCTCTCACTCGGCGTCTCGGAACTGACCCCCCCCTTCGCTGTCCCCCGCCAGCCTCCGTCTCCGGGATGACCAAGCACAAGGCCAAGCAGTCGCAGCCCCACGTGCACAGGCAGCAGTCCCTGAGCGACAACGGCCAGCTGCCCTCGCGGCCTCAGAGTGCTCGGATGCTGGCGGGCAACAGTCCAGGTAGCTTCCCTTCGGCTGGAGCAGCCTTCCAGGTGGCCTCCCCACTGCCCCAGGGCCTCTCCTGCTTGCCCTGCCGGCCCCCTTTCCTGTCCCTGATGGTCTGTGCCCTCATTTCCCCGAGAGAGGAAGTGCGTAGGAGCCGAGAGATGGGATGGGAGGGAGAAGAGAGAAAGTCCATCTTTACTGAGTTCCTGTTATGTGCCAGGGCTGTGCTGTCCGATGTCCCAGAAGAGGGAACAGGGGCAGGGTTGCAGCCCAAGGCTCCGGCTCCAGACCCGAGTCCTGCCCCGGCTCACAGGGGCTCACTCTGCTGAAGCTGGTGCTCAGCTCTGGGCGGCAGCTGGTGGGCACCCCTCAGGCCGACCTTGTCTGGGGAGGAGCTTCTCCTCACCCCCAGGCCTGGAAGGCCCCCTGAGTCCCCATTCTCCCCTGAGGGGCTAAATCCTGCCTGAAAGTCTGGGCGCTAAGGGTCCCCCAGGGTCCAGCCACACTTGGGGGCCAGAGAAGGACACAGGCCTGGAGCCACGAGGCCGGACCACCTTCAAGTGACTCTGAGCAAGTCTCCCCCCATCTCCAGACCTGTTTCCTCATCTGCCCATAAAGGGGTGCTGGATTGGTGCTACTCAGAGTCGGGGCGCCCAAGAAAGGGGATCTAACGAAAGGGGCTGACCTTCTTCCTATACAAAGTTACGTTCTCCCAACACTTTGCAGATGCCTGCAGGAGGTTCAAGGGCCGCCCCCGCTTCCCCCACCCCTGTTAAAGGCCCAGCCCTAGATGCCCTTTACCACCCATTCCAGTTCCAGCGCTCAGTGAGTGCCTGGAGGAAGCGGAAACAGAAGTGATAGCCCTGGTCGTGGCACCTCGCCTTTAGTTTAATCCTCACACCAACATTAAGAGGTAGGGACCACTGTGAGCATCACTTACAGCTGAGAAAATGGAGGCACAGAGAGGTTAAGGTACTTGCCCAAGGTCAGACAGCTAGGAAGCAGCGGGAGTGGGATTCAGACCTAAGCTGTCTGCCTCCGGAACCTATGCTGGTCACAACGTGTGGCAGGTGACTCAGTGGCGGCGGGCCGGGACAGACGACTCGGTGGCGGACAGAGTGCGGGGCTGTGACTGCGTTCTTGGGGGCACTTAGCTTCCTCCTTCTTGGCACTCCACTGTCTACTCCAAGAGCACCTAAAATGTTAGGGGAGCAGGAGAGGGAGAGAGGGCAGGCTTAGGAACAATTCCTGCATATCTGTTGGTGTGAACAGTGCCTCAACAGCCCCTGCATTACTAGAGGAAACATCACTTAAGAGGCAGGCTCTCTTGGCCACCGACGGAGGGCTTGATTATTTTTAACTCCCAGAGATTAGCAAGGAGCGCTGCTCAGGAGCTCCCGTGCGGGCTTGCACTGCCCACCACAGCCCTGCGGGGGCCCCCTCTCCAGCATTCTGCCCGCCCCCCAACCGGCCTGCCCTTCGTGCAAGCTGGGGAGGGCCTGGCAGGCTGCGCTGGGTGTGGGGAGTGGGACAGAGCCACCTCAGCCCCCATGTCTCACAGCTCCTCCTCGTCCGCGGAAAGACAGACCCTTGTCCTCCGAGGGGCACCTGGCCCAGCCCAACGCGGCCCACCCGCCCAGCCCCAGCGAGATGGAGATGCAGATGGACTTGCCTCCCGGGGAGGGTCTCGAAGAGCCCACCCGGGGACCGCGGTCCACCACTGCTCATTGACCAAAGTTATTAATAAATGTGTGGGAAGAAGCTTGGGGGCAGCGACGCTTCAGTGGGCTTGTCTCAGGAAGATGGAGTGGAAGGGGAGGGACCCAGCCCGGGGTCCAGGTGGCCGGCCTTCAGTTATTGGACAGGTCGGACTTACAGCCTGAGAATGAGACCATGACCCGCCCCGCCAACAGATGAAGCTACCCTCCAAGGGTGCGGGGGCTTCAGGAGAAGCTGCAGAGGCCGGACCCCAGACCCGGGGGCTGGCGGGCCGCAGTAGGACCCACTCTCACCCCCGTCAGCTCTCTCCTGACCTCAGCGGGACCCCGAGGCTGCTGCCTTCCCGTCTGGGGAGGCTGGGGAGTTCGGGAGAGGTTGGGGTTCGTGGTGTCCGTGCACCAGCCGTGCCGTGCAGCCAAGGTGAGGGTGGCAGCGCCCGGCTCCTGGCACCACGTCCCGGGGGAGCAGGGCCCCCGGGCACCTGGGAAGTTTTCGGTCTGCTGCCTCTGCAGCTTACCCTTGAGCAGCTGCTACAGAGGCAGAGGGGCTGCCTGGCCTAGGCTGGTTCCCTGCTCCGCTCACCCCTCCCCAGAAAGAGCAGAAGGGTGTCAGGAGGGGGTTTGCCAGGTGACTGCCATTTGCCCAGCAGCCTCCAGGCCTAGCCTTTGTCCTGCCCCAGCCCGCTGGGCTCCACTAGCCCCAAACAGGCACGAGGGTTCAATGCTACCCTGAGTTCTTTGTGCTAAGGGTCTTGGCAGGTTTGAGGGGACAGAGGAGCGAGGGGCGGGGACTGGGCTCAGCAGGTGCAGCAACTGTAAGAGACGAGCCCCCAGGTCCCACTGGAGCCCTGGGGACAAGGGAGAACTGCCCTCCCCCTGAGGCCTCTGAAGTCACAGAAGCAGCTTTCCTGTCTTCAGGTCTGTCCTCATGGGGGGCCCCCACCCCCAGTCCCCATCACCCCGACATGGGAAGGGGATGTCTCACACAAGAGGCCTGCTTTAAGGTGTGAGTGGATGGGGTGACAAATGACAAAAGGAAAGTGTGGCAGGAAACTGCCCAGAAAAGGGTTTCTCCCCAGGCCCGTGTGGGCAAAGGAGGGTGGGGTTGGCTGGGGGTGTCATGGGGTAGGGCAGGTGCTCCCTATGGGGTGTGGGGGGGCTTTCCCCTACTTTCCCCATGGGCTGAGACCCCATCCATCTTCATGCAATGATCTAATGCTCTGGCTAGACAAGAGGAGGGGAGCAGCTTGAACCTGGGGGCCCGGGTCGGCAGGCCTCACACCAGGCCCCCTTTCCTCTCGGAGCAGGGGGCGGGGCCCGCTCCAGCCCCTCTGCTCCCGCTCGGGCTCCTATTTCTCACCTTGCCTGAGAGATGTCAGAAGGTTGCCAGCTCAGTGTCCCTGGCCTAGAATCCAAACTCACCAGCTTGGCAGGGAGGGGCAGAAGCAGGCCATCCCAGCCCTCCACACCCAGACCTCCCCCGCGCAGGCAAGGACACGGAGGGGAGGACATTCCCCAAGCAGCGCAGGCCAACCCCCATCCTCGCACCTGGGCCAGGCCGCCCACCCTCCCCAGGCTGTGGTCCCAGCGTGGCCGCCCACATGCCCTGCAGGGACTTCCCCTTGCAGCCCCGGAAAGCACAGGTGGGCTGGCTGAGGGGTGAGGCCGGGAGGAGGCCCAGGGGTTTCCAACCAGGAAACAAAACTGAAACGACTAACCCATCCTCAAAGTAAACCATCCCATGCAGAGGGGCTGAGGGCAGCTGTGGGCAGGTTCTGCTTGGCTCTGCAGGGGCCGCTGGGCGGGCGGGCTGGCTGGAGGAGGTGGCCTGGCCTACTACGCAGGGCCCTTCTCAGGTGTCACTCCCACTTTGGGTATGAACCTCCAGCCCCTGCAGCCCCAATCTACAGCACGGTCGATTACAGGGCTCTGGCCCCCCGAGGGAGAAAACAAGCCCCCCCAACACACACATGTTGAAGGGGTCTTGGGGGGCAGGGGGGTGCAAGGTAGCATCCCTCCTCCCCAGCATGAGGCTGAAGAAATTCCAACCCTGGGGCCAGCCACCCACTCCTCCAGCCCCACCTCACCACCAGCACTGCCGGATCATTTGTGCGAAGGCCCCACTGGGCCAGGAATCCCCAACACTGCTTCTGTTCCAATGGCTGGAGGCTGTGGGGAAGGTGGGAAGGGAGAGGAAGCCAGTCCCTTTGGGGACCCACCCTGTCTCTGTGGATCCGGGACAGCCCTGGTTGACCTCTGGGGGATGGCCGCTCAACATGCACTCAGGGCCAGGCTCCCCCAAGAGGCTGAAGATAGGAATAGAAGGGGTGGGCCCAGCGGGAAGATGCCTGGGGGGCCTGAGCTGGGGGTGGGGGGGGTGCTGCCAGGGGCCACAAGTGGAGGAGTAGCTCCCCCTACCACAGACAAGGCTTTAGGGCCAAGCGCCAGCCTGTGGCAGGCCACACTGCAAGGGCCAAGAAGGGGAGACGGTCACGGAAACCAGTCAGGCCCAGGCCCCACTCTCCCTCCCATACTCAACTGGACCCAGCCGGTCCCATCAACCCCCTGGTCTGGACACCCCTTCTCCGAATATCCAGACCAGCCACATGGCACCGAAGCCCCACCCCCCAATCACAGCACACCAGGAGCCCCACCCCCCCTTCCCAAGGAGAGCCTGGTTTCCTACCAAGGCAAATAAAGGCACCGCAAACTAGGGAAGTTAGAAAAGTCTCTTTTAAGTTTTTAAATTAAAATTTCACCCTGGTGAGATGATTGATCTGGGAAGTAAATCCAAGGCAAGCTCTCCACTCTGTCGGGTGGGACACACAGTGGGAGAGACAGGGTGGCCGAGGAGGATCAGGACCCCTGCTAGGCAGAGCCTGAGTCTCTGGCCCAAGCCGGCTCTTTAGTTCTGCACAAGCCCCGCACATCTGGCTGGCGACGGGTGACACCAGAAGAGACCCGGAGCTGCAGGGCCCCTGAGGAGCCAGCCACGGAAGTCCTGCGGTTAGGGAGAGCTCGGATGGCAAGGGGCCTCCACACCTTCGGCCGACGGGCGCTTCAGGGAGCCCCTGCTGTGGAACTCCTTGAGTGGATCCACGGTGGTCCTCGATTCCCGAAGGCGTGACCTCCAGGAGGCAGCTAGCAGACCCCTCATGACTGCAGGATCACCCCACCTGGCTTCCAAGCACCTGCCCTGGGACGAGGGGTGGAGGGAAGGGGTGCTGGCCCAAGGGGACGCTCTGGCCCTTCCCTGCCGACCCCAACACCTCGGTCAGCCAGCCCCATTCTCACATACATTAGTTATATTTATATTTTCATATATATTATAGTTATATATTAAAAAGAGAAAAAAACTTGTCTGAAGAGAAACTCCTGAAGGACCCAAGTGGCTCAGGAAGTTTACTATCCCCCCCCCAAACCCACAAAAATTATTTTATAAAATCTTCCAGTGCGATCTTCAGGAAACCCCCACCCGCCCCGGCTCCCCCCACCCCGGCCCTCCTGTGTCCCCACGGCCCTGGACTGCCCCCCCCGCCCCAGCTCCAGCCCAGCGCCCGGCAGCATCCAGTCTCATCTCTGGCCATCCATGGCAGCCATGGCTTTGTGCTGGGCGCCACCCTGCTGCGCTCCGGGGGGCCACGTGGGCTGTGGGTGGTGGAGGTGGTGGAAGCTGTGGGCCGTGGGGGAGGAGGGCGGGATCCAGGCGGCCTGGTGGCTGGGTGGGGACGAGGCCCAGAAGGGGCCGAAGCTTGCAGGGGGGGAGCAGGCCACGGCCGTCATGGGACTATTGCTGCCCTGCAAGCCCTCGGAGGCACAAAGCTTGGAGAACATGGCCAGTGCGTCGGGGAAGTTGGGCGGTGTGGCAGGTGTGTTGCTTGGGGTGCACATCTGCTGGGAGAGAACACAGGTGTCGGGAAGGTTACGGGCACGCGCCACCCAACTCTGAGCCCTGCCCAGTGGACCCCCAACAGAGCCTACGGCGGGGCTCACCCAGGCCGGCCCCTCCTCCATTCCCCTTTTCCAGTCCACGGGCGGCTTCCACAGAACAGAAGCACCCTTCTCGCCCTGAGCCGATACAAACAATAAAGACCAACCCCGACAATTTTTATCAAAACCAAAGAGTGTTTCCTGAATGCCGGGCAGGGACGCCCCCGAGGAGTGTCCGCAGCAAAGGGTTAATTCCAACCAGAAGCCAGGCTGCCCGATTCAAGTGAGGACAAGAGAGCAGCCCGGGACACCAGTGCTTAGCGCCTCAGCCTGGGTAAGAAACCAGCTGGCGCCCTCAATAATCCGCCCTCAGATGTTCTGAGGTTGTCGGTCAAAGGAAGGCAGCCAGACCCAGGGTCTCCCTCCGCTGCTCAGCGAGGAGAAGAGAAGCCGCACCTTCCCGGCGTCTGGGCTCACTCCACACTCTCAGCACCAGCGGGCAGACCTTGGAGGCTCTGTCTCATGATCTCAGTTGTCACAGTGCCCGGGCACAGATGAGGAAACTGAGGCCCGGAGCTCAAGTCCACGGACCGCAACACACCCGCTGCAGGCTACAGGCTGCGAAAGATGGGATTCCTGGGCTCGGATTCCCAGGGCGGTGAGGGGGCCTCCGAGGCCCCAGCCCTTCAATCTCTAGCCAACCCTGACTCGTCTGTGCTTCACGCCTGGGCTCCCCGAGGACAAAAACCAGGGATTTGGGTTTTCTGTGTCCCCAGCGTCTCCTCCATGATGCGTTGGCGGGATGCTGGCAGAGTCTCAGCCTGTTCAGTCCCCTCAGCCCTCCTCCTGGGGGTACTTACAAACACCCCAACATCTGCTGTTTTCTGCCACTACCCTGGGAGGGAAACTCCCCAAACCCTCCAGTATCCCCCACCCTTTCTGATCAGGGACCCCAGCTGGGAAGGGCAAGGACTGGGGTAGGTGCTGTACTGTGACTGGCGCCCCCCCCACCCCCAGCAGCATGGTGGGGCCGGGGGGTGCCACTCAGAAGTCTCTCCCAGGACCCTGGGGAAGAGGCAGCGGAGAGCAAGGCCTACACAAAGCCCGT